TATTTAAAAATATATGTGCTAAAGCTTATAACGATTTTGGAACCCAATCAAATGTTCATGTGAACCTTTTGGCTGCACATTTAGTATACCAGCATTTAACATATTCATTTCCATATGTTTCAAGTGTTTTGAAATACGACTAGTTAATATTTCCACATGGATAAATTACAAACATATTTAATTATTTCATTCTATTTCAGACATACTCTGGCAATTTCCTGTTAATTCATAATTTCAGAAAATACTTACTCAGCGTTCATATCTTTGATTTACTTATTCACTTGGATATCTTTCTAGTTGTAAATAAAATTATGCTTGGATTCTACATTATTGAGAATTTCTAATGAGATTGATAAGTAAAAATAAAATGATTGAAAATTAATATCTTCAGTTTATAATTTAGTTTTTAAACAAAAGTATTGATTAGGTAAGTTCCGTCAATCCACACTAGCTACCGCAATGTATTGAGATACACTGATGAGATAAGTGGCAGATGTTTCACTATAGGAAAAGAAGATAACTGCTGAGCTCAGGTGGCTCACACCTGTAATCCTCGCTACTCAGGAGGCTGAGATCTGAGCATGACGGTTCAAAGCCAACTTGGGCAGGAAAGAGTGTGAAACTCCTATCTCCACTTAACCTCCAGAAAACCAGAAGTGTGCTGTGGCTCAAGTAGTAGAGCACTCACCTTGAGCTGAAGAGCTGAGGGACAGCACCCGGTCAAGAATTCAAGCCCCATGACTGACAAGAAAAAAAAAAGTAAAAGAAGATACTTCTATTACTCTCTGTTACAGTCAAGGCTTCAATAAAAATTTCAAATTTTTGCTCATTATTATATTGAAAACTCTTTATCTATATATGGTTGGCATGTAGAAATCAAGATATATTGACAATATGGAACCTAATGGTTATTAAAGCTTATGACAAAAATGTATGTCCCAAATCTATGCTATTAAAATAGCCATCATGGAAGTTTCCTTGCCATTCCTTTATGATTTTATATTTGTGATAAAAATTAATCTCTATACTTTAGCAAATATGAATTGATAATGTAGTAGTGCAAACTACAGGCCTAGTTGTACAGTGGCTTAAAAAATTTTTTTATTGTGAAAATACCATACAGAGGGGTTACAATTACATGGGCAAGATAATGAGTGCATTTCTTATCAAGCATTGTTTTGTTGCCTCCTCCTTTGTTTTCCCATCCCTTCCCATTCCCATCCCTCCCCCTCACCAAAAGTTGTAAAGTTCGTTTTTTGACATAATGTTTTGTATACCTCATTGTTGCAACGGGTCCGACTGTATCCCTATTTAAACAATTTGTTTTTTCCCTTCCCTCCACAAAGTATACCAACATCAAATACAGCGAAATCAGGGGTTATACTGGGGGGGAGGGACATACAAACCAACAAAAAATCATCTTATAAATATGTTAGAAACTATAGCAAGAAAGAAAAACCATTTGAATCCTTATCTTGGGGTTCATTTCGCCTCACATCACCTTATCTGACCGTTTCTGCTTGTCTCAAACATAACTAGTTATTGCAAATAAGGGAAAACATGGGGCCTATGTTTTTTTCAGCCTGGCTTACTTAATATAATTTTTTTCCAAATCCTTCCATTTCCTAACAAATAGGGCAATGTCATTTTTTCTGATGGAGGCATAGAATTCCATTGTGTATATATACCACATTTCCTTGATCCATTCATCTATTGAGGGGCATCTGGGTTTCTTCCATATCTTAGCTATGGTAAATAACGCTGCAATAAACATAGTTGTGCTGGTATTCTGACCTATAAATGAAATGTAGTGATTTGTGCTCACCTCTTTCAGCAACCAACTTTGTCTTTATGAGGAATGTCATGTGTACTTTTCACGAAAATTTGTACTTCTGGTATTATGGTCTGGTTTTAGAAATTGAAGAAGAATAACAGCGAAGGTGTACATAAAGAATATTACTACAACAACCAAACTTAGATATCATTACATAGCAATACTGATTTTAATTATTGAAACAAATCAAGTCTGTAATAGGTAAATAACTTAAGAAAAGAGAAATCGTAGAGATAGATCTCTATTATATTAAAGCAGTTGTAATCTTAAGTGCCTGCAGTAATGGTAGGGAGTCTGGTGAACTCGTAAGTGTAGGTGGTTATTCTATTATTATCTAATTTTCACTGATTTCAGTTTTTTTAAATGTTTTTTTATTGTAAAAATAGTGTACAGAGGGGTTACAGTTACATGTGTAAGGTAATGAGTAGATTTCCTATTAAGCATTGTTACCTCCTCCTTTGTTTTTCCCTACCATCCCTTCCCTCCCCTATTCCCCCTCCCCCTATTGTAAATTTCATTTTCTACATAGTGTCTTGTACATCTCATTGTTACAATGGGTTATCCTGTATCCAGGCACAAAGAAACACAGGTCCTATGGTTTCCTTTATTTGCAATAACTAGTCGAGGAGAAGCAGAAAAATTCAAAAGCTATGTACATATGACCATATAAGACAATGTTAAGTGAAATGAACCCCAAGATAGGGAAACAACTTGATTTTTCTTTCTTGCTATTGTTTTTAATGTATCTAACATGTAACATATGATTTTTTGTTTCTCTTGTATGTTCTTCCCCCCACAATATAACCCCTGCTTTCACTGTATTTGATTTCGGTGCCCTGCATCTTGTATATACATTTTTTTCTAATTGTGGAGGAAAAGGGAAATAACAAAATGCTGATTTCAAATTTTTACCTAAAACTATTTTCATTTACCAACCACTTGAATATATAAAGAAATGTATACATATAAGCTGTATAGCATACATGAATATTAAAGCAATATTTTAATATTAGTACAATTATTAAGCTTGTATACAACTGTATAAATAAATGTAACAAAAAATTAGAGATAGGAATTTCCATCAGTACTACTAACTCTTCACTTATACCTATAGAATTTAGATGGCTGACTAAATTAAGGAGATAGGCTTGGTATTTTTCCTTCCACTTTAAGTCTATTACTTTTTATCTTTGTCATCCTCTTCTTCAGTTCCTTGGATGAATGGAACAGCAGGTCTCATTAATGAGTTTCTTTTCATACTTGAAAGCTAATCCTCATGAAAGGGCAACTCTGTGTGTGTGTGTGTGTGTGTGTGTGTGTGGAGTAACTTTCTTAACTCTGATGAAGATTCCACATGTCAAATCCAGAGAATAGAACACACACACACACACACACACACACACACACACACACACACACACACACACCATTTCATTGCTTATATTTTCTGTGTATTCTTAACAGGTCCATGTAGTTTTTTTACATAAAAGTAAATTCCTATACACTAATCAAATTAACTTTCATTAGGCTAAATATTAAAGAGAAAATGTGTCTTATTCATTTGTATAATTAAAATGAGTGTCCCATCTTCATTATTTCTTATATATGGTAACTACTCAGAATTGTTTAGACAGTCATCAAATGACAAATAGCTGACCGTTTGTTCATACACATCCAGTTTATTTCACATAGGATATTCACTCAACATGATCAATTTTTACATTGAATTGACCAGTTCAACAAAAAGTAACTAAACCTATAATTTTTAAATTAAAAATATTTCATTGATAAATTCAAATTATATTGTATTATACAAGCATACTGGATTTTCTTTTTCTGCTCATCTGTTGATTGGCATCTAGGTTATTTTCTATCTTGGCTATTATGTGTAATGTAGCAATGAATGTAAGACCTTATATAACTGAGATCTTACACTTATTTGGATACAATATGGGAAGTGACATTTCTAAGTCTGAGGGAAGTTGAAGGTTCAGTACTTTTCTGAAAAATCCATGATTATTATTGTAGTTGCATAGCAGTCTACCAACAATGTAAAGGAATCACATTCTCCAAATCTCAGTCAAAACTGATTATATATTTTTATTCACTTATTTACTTTTTACAAGTTTTGGGGCTTGAACTCAAGGTCTGGGGACTGTCCCTGAAAACTCTCTTTGCGCAAGGATAGTGGCCTTTAGCACACGTTTCTGGATTCTTCTGAGTAGTTTATTAGAGGTAAGAATCTCATGGATTTTTTTTCCAGGCTGTCTTCGAACCATGATCTTCAGATCACAGCCTCTTAAATAACCAGGATTACGGGCACAAGCTAATAGAGCCCAGCAAATTTAGTTTTATTTTATAACTGATCATTTTAATTAGTGTGAGTTGCTCATTCTTTTGGTTTTTATTTCATTTGACTAATCATTGGTATTCTGTGGAATATTTTCATAAACTCCTTGACTATTTTTTGTTTATTATTCTTTTATTTTCTATTAACTTGATATTGAGTAGGGTGTTCAGGATTATTACCCCTTTATCAGAAATGAGATTTTCTGTCTATATGAATATATATTAATTTGAGTATATAAAATTAACATTAATATAAATACATGCAAATTATATAGACTAGAAAATATAGTTAAAATAGATATGTAACACAGCAGTTTATTGATAGATGATAGGTAAAATATAGTGTTAGATGGCTAGAATGGTAGTAATAGATATATGTATGAAAAAAATAAAATTATGTTACAGTTTATAAGAATATGCAAATTAAAGACATAGGAAGGTGTAATATATAGTACATATAGTCAGCTACATCACAATTTCTGAATATTCTTGATTAATCTTGATACTTTAATCTCCAAGAAAAGCTTTCATGCATGAATCAATTTAAAATTCATTAATATAACACAATCAAATTTATGAGCTATGTGTTGATGAGAAAAAGGAATAAGAGTACTTAATATATCAACAAATGCAAACAAATTGAGGCGCTGAGAAAATGGACACAGGTCACAGGGACACACATCTGACATTTGGTGCATAAAGTTCAGTTACATAAAATAGAAGTAAACAGTATCAGAGAAAATGTTCATGATCATATTATCAATTTTTTAATCTCTTTGATTCTTCTATTTTACAGGTGAATCAGCATTTTCAGACCATGGGCAATACCAGCATGGTAGTGACTGTGTTTCTCCTGGAGGGCTTTGCTGAGGTGTGGGAGCTCAGGGTCCTCTTGTCCATGTCGTATCTACTGATGTACTTGGCCACTCTGTTAGGAAATCTTATCATTATCACTGTCACCACCATTGACAGGAACCTGCATACACCTATGTACTTCTTCCTCAGGAATCTGTCCATCTTGGACATGTGCTACATTTCTGTCACTGTCCCCAATATCTGTGTCAACTCTTTCATTAACAATAGGATCATTTCCATGGCTGGCTGTGTGATACAGATTTTCTTAGTCATTTATTGTGCTTTTGTGGAAACTCTGTTTCTCACCATCATGGCCCGGGAGCGCTATGTGGCCATCTGCCAGCCCCTCCACTACCCTGTCATCATGAACCATAAGTTCTGTGTCCAGACCACACTGGCTTCAATACTCATTGGTATCATCTATGCAGCTATTCACACTGGCAACACTTTCCGGCTGTCCTTCTGTCAGTCCAACATGGTCCCTCAGTTCTTCTGTGATATCCCTTCTCTATTAAGGCTGTCCTGCTCAGACACCTTTAGCAACAAAGTCTTAATTTTTATTTCTGTGTTTGGAGCGGTAGGTGGCTGTTTTATCTTCATCGTCATGTCCTATGTTCGTATATTTTCAACAGTGCTGAAGTTCCCAGTGAAAGAAGAGCGAGGAAAAGCCTTTTCCACCTGTGTCCCCCACATTCTTGTGGTATCTGTATTTTTCAGTTGTGGTGCTGTTGTTTACCTAAGACCTCCGGTAAACTCTGAAATGATTCAGGGCATTATTCTGTCTGTATGCTATACCATTATTCCACCATTTCTGAATCCTCTCATCTATAGTCTAAGAAACAAACAGATACAACAAGCTTTCAGGAAAATAATATTAAGAAAATAATACTAAGGATTTTTGCAGGAGAACTTTCATATTACACTTTGTAATTATTCTGTGATGTTTATCACAAGACATTTCCATAAAACTCCTGTGGGTGCATATAAAGGAATGTAAGTAGCATATGTACCTGCCAGCTCATTTTCATTGCAGCACTAATTTTATATATATATATATATATATATATATATATATATATATATATATGTAATAGAATAAGACTCTGTACCAATCAACAGACTGGTTTCAACCATAAATAACAACGAAATATGTATTTGCAAAAAAAACAGAGCTGGAGATTAGTACATTAAATGAAATAAAGCAGTTCTTAAAAGTCAAGTAGTGCTTGTTTTTGCTCATACATGAAATATATATACTATAAACATGATTTATTATACACACATATACATAAGTGAAAGAGGGACTGCTGGGACACAAAGGAGAGGGAAGACGTAAAGGGTAAGGGAACAAAGTTTAAATTATTGGTAATAATCTAAGCAGTAAGAAATAGTTAATTCATTTAAGAAAAGAACAATCACTAAGGTTACTTGAGTATTTTATCCAATAATCTCAAGTGTCAAGAAGTTATGTCAGGAAGTTTAGATAACTCGAATCTCTGGTAATAAATTATATTATAGTTGATTATTCTATTCTTATCTTATTTTCACTGATTTCAAAATTAAACTTAACACATGTAAGTTAGTGACTCTCAGAAGAAAGCAATAAGTTAGCCCCATTCAATATTTAGGAATGTTCTAATTCTTCTTTCTGTGGCCTGTCTTTTTCCAACCTAATCTTTGCTTCGAACTGTGAAATTGTCATTGAAAGTGACTTTGTTTAGCACATAATATTAAACTTTTATGTTTATCCATAATTTTTAAAAATGAAGCTGAAACAATGACCATGCAGTTTTTACATTTGAGGAAATTATCTGAAGCAAAAATTAAGATTTTATTTGAACATTTATTTGCATATTTCTCTACTCCTAAATATAACTATGCTTGTATCTTCCATTATTGAGCATTTATGATGAGATTGATTAATAAGTGAAAATAAAACAAGAGAAGATTGATAATCTATCAAGTAAAATTTGGTAACATAAGAAATGTGTTGATTAGTTATGTTTATGCTAAGTATAAAAAATCTATTGAGATACAGTAGTAAAACAAATAATAGGTGTTTTGCCCTCAGGAAAGCTTATGCTTGTGATAAATTTTGCTACCTTCCAGACATTAATGTATATTTTAGCTTTTGGCTTATTATTGTATACTGCTTTAATTGCCTATACATAATTGCACACAAATCAAGAGCTATTGAGTGTGTACAGACTGATGAGTTTAAGATAAGTTATGACCACAGATTTATGGCCCAAATCTCAGCTATTCACATACCAATCACATTCACCAATTCCCTCTCACTTTATTATTTTACCTTTGTAATAAAAATAAGATCTATATTTCAGCAAATATGAGTGTATCATATAGAGTCTAAGCTATTTCTTTTGTTGTATAGCAGCTCTAAAGCAATGATTTCTGTCCTGTCCTGTCCTGCAACTGAAATTCAGTGTCCTTAGATGAACGCATCCTGTGCCCTCCTCCCAACAACCAGCTTTGTCTCTGTGAGGAATATTGCACAGCATTTGTCCTTCTCTGCAGTTCCCTTCTCAGCTCCCTTCTCATCACTCATTATGAACAATTCTTTATGCTTTATGTATCATTTATAGTAAATGTAATAAAACATACTGATTTTTAAATAGGAGGATTTCTTTATGGTTGCATTATCTCCTACAGTTCAAATATATTAAATTTTCTTTATTTGTTCATCTGGTGATTGACACATAGATTCAATTATACCTTGGTTACTTTTAGTACTCCAGCTAGGAGCAGAAAATCATGGAGGTTACTGAGATCCTTCACTTAGTTACTTTGGATACAACTTCAGAAATGATGTTTCTGGGCCTTGGGCAGTGCCAGTTAGTAGTTTTGGGGAAATTCCATTATGATCATTACAGTTGCACCAGCTTCTGCATCAGCGTTGTAAAGGAATCTCATTCTCCAAATCTCGGTTGATTCAAATTATAGCTGTTCATTCTGACTTGTATGAGTTGACACTTCCAGTTTTTCTCATTTCAATTTACTTGTCATTAGTATCCTGCAGCATATTTTTATAAACATATTGCCCATTATTTTGTTTAGGAGAAATATATTACTGGGTCCTCAAAAATGCTTATTTTTAGTATTTTTGGTTAATTTAATATTTAACTGTTGTGTTAAAGGATTTTGCTTATAATATTCTTTAGAAATATAATTTTCTATATATATTTTACATGTGCTTATTTGCACATTCATGTATTTATATATACATACAAATTGATAAAGAGGAAGGGTAGCAGTCAGATTTATAAATATATATGGCAGAAAGTAAGATGGACATAATGATAAACACAGACATACTTTATATACATGTATAAAGGCAGCATTATTGTAATTTTATAAGGTATATAATATATAAATATATACATATATTCAAATATATCTCTATAATATATTTGTATATGTTTTATAAACTATTAGATAGTGTATATTGTATATATTATACTATATAAATTATATATGTGCATATAAATATATATATGTGTGTACATATAAATATGTGTGTATATATAAAACATATGTAATATATGTGTAATATAATAATGGATATAATTATGTATAAATGATACAGTGACAATCACATACACATATATATGAATTTATTTGGCTACATACCCTCTGCCTATTGCTGAGTGAGCCAATATTTACAACCGTAAGAGGAATGTTTATACATTGATTATTTTAATATTCATTACCATACCATTGCAAAATTCATGAGCTATCCAGGCATCAGAGGCTCACACTGGTAATTCTAGTTACTCATGAATGCTTTTGTGGAAATTCTTTTCCTTACCATTATGGCCACTCTGTGGCCAGTTGTCAGCCTCTTTTATTACCCTGTCATCATGACCCAACACTGTGGTTCTCTGTCAGGCCACACTGGCTTCCCCCTCAGTGATCTTCTCTTTATAGCTGTGCACACTGGCAATACATTCAGGTTGACTTCTGTCAGTTCAACATAATCCCTCAATTCTTCTGTGATACACCCTTTTTGCTTAAACTGACCTGCTCAGACACTTCAAGCAATGAACTGTATGTTTTTGTTCATATCATTGGAATAGTTGGTGGCTGCTTTTTTTTTTTATTATGAAAAAGCCGTACAGAGGGGTTACAATTACATGGGCAAGGTAATGAGTACATCTCTTATAAAGCATTGTTGCCTCCTCCTTTCTTCCCCTTCCCATTCCTTCCCATCTCCTCCACCCTGTTCCCTCCTCCCACGCCCTTCTCCACCACCTCCCCCACCCCCTAGGCCAAAGTTATAAAGTTCGTTCTTTGAGATAACTTCTTGTACATCTCATTGTTGCAATGGGTCCACCTGTATCCCTATTTAAACAATTTGTTTTTTCCCTTCCCCTCCACAAATTATACCAATATCAAATACAGTGAAAGCAGGGGTTATACCGTGGGGAGGGACATACAAAGCAACAAAGAAATCATCTTCCAAATATGTTAGAAACAATCACAAGAAAGAAAAAAAAATATGAATCCTTATCTTGGGGTTCATTTCACCTAACATCAACTTATGTGATCTTTTCTGTTTGTGTCAGGCATATACTAATTATTGCAAATAAGGGAAACCATGAGACCTATGTTTCTTTGGGCCTGGTTACTTCACTTAATATAATTTTATCCAAGACTTTCCATTTCCTAACAAATGGGGCAATGTCATTCTTTCTGATGGAGGCATAGAATTCTATTGTGTATATATACCACATTTTCTAGATCCATTCATCTACTGGGGGGCATCTGGGTTGGTTCCATATCTTAGCTATGGTAAATAAAGCTGCAATAAACATACTTGTGCTGGTAGCTTTAGTACAGTCTTGTTCATTGTCATATCCTATGGTCTCATATTTTTTTTTTTACTGTGCTGAAATTCCTAGTGAAAGAAGAATAAGGAAACCCCTTTCCATCTTGCGTTCCTCACATTGTTGTGGGGCCTGTGTTTCTTACTTCTGGTGCTATTGTGTATCTGAGACCCTGATTAGACTCTGAAATGATTGAAGACATCATCCTTTCTGTATTTTATACCATTGTTCCACCATTTCTGAATCTCATCTTCCACAGATTCTAAATCAAATAGAGAAAAGATACCATGGGGAAAGTAATATTAAACAAATGACACTAAGGAAGATTTTTGCTGGAAAACTTCGATGTTATTCTTTGAAAATTTTTGTCAAATGTCACTGAAATTAGCTCTAAATCCAGTTTGTGTTTTATATTTTGAATCAGCTTCTTAAATTTATTTAACATGAATATATAATATGGGTATTTTTTATTAACCTATTTAAGTAGAACCTAGAACTGAAGAAAACGGATTTTAAATGGTATTTTTTCTAATTGTACAGGGTTCTAAAGTATATAAATAGACCAATTTACACAAAACATTTTGCTAAAATAGCATTCTTTGCATTTTCTCACATCTAACATGCATATGAATCTTTGAAATCCTCAGGATGATGAGATCTGAGGATCGGGGTTCCAAGCCAGTCCAGAGAAAAAGTCCTTGAGAATTTCGTCTGCAATGAATGACCAGGAAACCCGAAGTGGAGCTGTGCCTCAAAGTGGTGGAATGCTATCCTTGAGTAAAAGAGCTCAGGGACAGGCCCCAGTTCAAACCCGTGGTAAAAAGTTTTAGATATCTAATTCAATCTGACTAGGAGTATGTAGTAAAACTCAAAAAGAACATAGGGCAAACTTTAAGACATTAATTTTTGAGTCTGAGGTATTAAATAGAAACTTAAGACAATAAGTTATATGACAAAAATGGAATATTTAGGTATCCTAAAAAATATCAGCTTCCTATTTTACCTGAATCCAGGCTTATACAATTTTGCCTGAGGGAAAGTTTTGAATTTATAACCAATCATTTTGTATCAGATGGCAGCATAATTTTCCAGTTATTTGCTGAATTTTAAAGTCCTGATGCTTCTGTAAGAAATTTGTAAGGTTTGAAACCAGACTCCAGTGTGATAAGTGTTTGAGATAGACCATGAGTTACTACTGTTCATTTTGAAGATGGACAGACATATAACAAGAGCTGTCTAATCAAAGCCCAGTTTTTCTGTTTTCATGACGTTATTGGTTTGAACACTGGGTTGTTTTTATGTGTTATAATTGACTATTGGTAAATATTTTGTTGAATTAGTAATTAAAAGTTAGCATTACATACAGAAAACTTTGTCATCTGTTTGCCAATCTTTACATACAGAAAAGTTTGTCATCTGTTTGCCAATCTTTCTGTGAAATTTCCATGAGTCTTGACTCTGAATACAATGTCAAGGTTGACTAGAAGTGATATAGAGAAGAGTAAAGCATGGACTATTTTTGGACAAAGAATTACATAAGATCAACATAATATTTATCCTTTTTATGGTACTAGGGTTTGAACTCAAAGCCTCCCGATTTCTGGGCAAATGCTGTACTACCTGAGCCATGCCTCTAGCTCAACAGATAATTTTTAAAGAAGTTTTACTATGTGTTATATTAAATATCAGAAATAACCATCAGTGATAGACATATCAAATGGATCATTATCTCATGAGAAGGAACCTACCAGTAAAATACAGCAAAATCCAACCATCAGGAAGGAAAAAAAACAAAAAAAGAAATTTTATCAATTTATTTTCATGGTCACAAAGCAAATGGTTTCGTTTTAAGGCAATGCACAGTACAGCATGGGTAAATAGAAAACTAAGACAGGAGTGGCAAATTATCTACCAACTAAGTTGAGAAGGTAGGAGTCATTTGTAATTTATTATTACTAAGAAGTTTTAAAAAGACATTTCAAATCCTTAAGTCAATGAATCTTGATGAATATCACCTCTTCTATTGTTCTCTACCCATTTCCGTTCCCATCCCCAC